AGCGATATTGAGAAATAATCTGAGGTTTGAAGTGAAAAAGTAATACCGTTTTTGAATAGCCGTGAATTCATGTAGAGAAGGCCTTTCGATATGAAAAAGTATTCATTAAAAAGCTTTAATGGAGTAATTTCATTTTAGTCTAACAACGAAGTTCGAGTTTATTATAAAAATAACGAGATATTTTAATAAAAAACTTCATGTGACACGAATTTCGAATTTATTTTCACATATCAGATATAGCTATAAATTAGGAAAATTCAAATTCATTATTTTATAAAATTTATTTATTTTGGAGATTTCTCATTGAACAATTTGCGCAGCATTGGTGTCTGTCACATGAAATTTTTATAATGGAAAACAATACCATTTCAGAAGAATTTAGTGGTGGTAGTGGTGAACAAGCTTCCTTACCATTACTTACGAGTTTATCATATAAAAGTTCAAAAGCACTGCAGAACAATTTAATAAACTTAGCAACCACACCAAACACTGAATCCTCATCCAACCGTCCACTATTATTAAATAATATCAATGACAATGATGATGACATAAAGGTTTCCGAGTGTTCTAAGGATGTAACATCAATTTTTTCAACAATGAATTATTCATCATCATACTCATTACTTAATGGGTCTGTTGGTGAATTGATGTTGATGAAACTTTATTCATCTCGTAAAGAATTCTCAGCTATTATAAAATTATTGATTTTTAAAAAGGTTTTTTATATTTATAATTTAAAATTTCTTAAAAAAATTATTTGATTTATTATTGATAAATATGTTATATATGATATATTTTTTTCAGGCAACACTATTACTTCCAGCAACAACATCAATTGATTCATTTGATATAATAGATATGAAATTTATGCAGGATCATGTGATATTTACATTACCAATTGATAATGGAGGGCTTAAATTTGTGACATTAAGTGGAGTAAGAGGTTTCATTCGAAAGTAGGAATGGGTCTTATTAATCAAAAAATAGCAATTTGCTTGATCAATAATACTTAGTTTATTTAATTAATGTATATTATATCATTTAGCAATGTTTTAAAGGTTATGGATTTAATATCTGAACATTTACCAATATTATCAAATAATAATTCATGGCATAAAGGGTATTGTCATTATTATTAGTAAAACATTATTTATAATATTACAATTCTAATTCTAAATGTTTGAAAATTTTTTATATAGATTAAATATTGACCATAATGATAATAATATATCAACAACACCAAATGAATATTCAACAATAATTTACCCAATAATAAAAATAATTAACAATAAAAGCAATATTATATTCAATGATATTAATATTCAGTCAATAATAATAGAATCACCTATTAGGTCTAAAGATATTGTTGAAGATATTAATATTAAACAAGAAATGGATAAAATTACAAAATTACCTGATTTACCAGAATCACTATTAGAAGATATCAGAAGGTTAAGAGATATTATTATTAATTTTATATTATTATTGGAGAGAATATTGATTTATTGACACTTTTAAAAAAAATTTTTTGAAAATATATAATTTTTAAAAAAATAAAAACAGTTTTGTTAGTAGTTTGTTAAAATTTCCACCACCTAATGAAGAATTATCATATGAACAAATCCAATCATTTTATGAGATTGTATATTCTGAAATGGAAGACCCAATTGAATTAAATGAGAAAATGAACAGTATAGAGAAATATGTAACCACAGTATTATATGAAAAGTATGTATTATATATTTTATTTATTTATTAATAATTATGTTTATTTGTATAATTGTTATCATTATTAGAATATTTTGCCCAAAATGGTCAGATGACAGTTTAAAAGATGAGGAATTAAATTCAAAAATATTAGCTTTAAATTATTTAAATCTTAAAGATCTTGGTATTGAACTTAATTCAAATCAACAACAAATAGTTGAATTGGTTGTTAAACTTTCATCTTCAGAATTAGAAAATTTAAACCAAAGAAAATCACCATTTGAAAAACTAGAATGTCTTATAAATTGCCATAAAATTATTAATGGTAATCTATTTCAAATTATTTTTTAATTGGAATTAATAATCAAATAATAATATTGAATAATATTAACATTAATTATAGAAGAATTTGAAAAATCATCAATAAACTCTGATAATAATTCAATAGCACATCTAATCTTACCATTATTAATTCACATTATTATTAAATCCAATCCAAAAAAATTAATTTCTAATCTAAGGTGAGTTTTAAATATTTATAAATGCTTATTATTAAACATTATTATATTTATTTTATTGAAAATGTTATATTTAATATAATATAATTATGTATACATGTTTCTCTCAAAAAAAAAAGATTTATACAGAGATTTAGAGTAAGAAATTTAATAGATAACGAAATGTCATACTGTTTAACAAATATTCTAGCAGTTATTGGATTTTTAGAGACTGCTGATTACTTGGATTTAAACAACAATAACATTATTAACAGCAGTAGTGGTAGGAGGGTTGGGCATGAAATAGTTAAAGTGGCTGATAGTGGTGTAAAAGTTATCACTGACGCATTTGATTCTTCTTATAAGTTGTTTGGTCGTATTCTTGGATCAAATGATATATTTTTCGATAAGGACAATATTAATAATAAAAACAATGTTAATAAATTGCCCTCAACAAAATCTACAATAACTCCTGGCATTGATGAAGCTAAACAAGAAAACGAAATGCAACAGCCGCAACAACACCGAAAACGTAAATCTTCATCCTCATCAATGTAAAAGATGAATATTTATTTATTTTTAAAATGTTTAATAAAATTATTTAAGTTAATTAACTTATTCATTATTACTATCATCACCATACAATATATCATTAGGGTTGATCGTTTGCTTTCATTTAATGTGCTTCCACATTTTTCAGGCGATGGAAATATTATAAAAAAAGTAAATGTTTTTATTTATCATTACCATAATTATTATTGTACCACATCATAACATGCTGACTGATATTCTATAATTAGGAAATTAAGAATTCAATATATAAAGATGATATAAAAATCTCACCGCCAATCCAAAAATTTCTAGATTGTTCAATTGATGATTTTCATGTCAAAGATGTTCCAGGTTAGAATTAGCATTAATTTATAATTATTTCATTTATAAATATTAACTTGTTATTGTTATTAATATAGAACTTTTAGAAGATTATAAAAGATTAGCAAAATCGATGCATAAACTTAATCTTTTTTCCAAATAATGATCATAGTGGTGGTGGCCGAAACTATTTTTGAAAAAAAAAAAAAGGTAGTTTCGCCCAATACTATGGTAGCCAATATTTTTTATAAAAACAAACATATAATAAGTATCTAAATCAATCTACTTTATTTAAAAAAATCGTACGAAAATAATTTCGCCCAATTTCAGCTATTATTAAATTAGTTTCGTACAAGTTTAATTAATTTCGGCAATTTCGGCCCACTAAGTAAGATAGTTTCGGCCATCATTACTATAATAGATCTTAATATTTATTTCTGTATTTATCATAACTATTGTATATATTATAAATTCAAATCATTAAAATTAATCATTAAAAATTAATCACTACGAACTAATACTTATTAATAATTTACAAAATAATTGCTGCACTTCTGATCATCTTGTAACTCGCTCGCCGATTGATTTGCTAACATTGAAATTAACTAGTACTAGCGTATTTTTTATTTGTATGCGAAGTTACACGGCAAAACTAAATACATTAAATTGTAGTAATAAAGTAATAATGGTATTGTCTTTAAAGGAACACTAAAAAAATCACAATACACACAAGAAATTATAAAATTTATTCATTCGTGCGTATTCTAATATTATTCCTTTACGATTGAATCTTTAGATAAAGAAATAGATGGTAATTAATTTTCCGCTGCTCAACAACGAAAAAAATTTCTTTATTTTTGCTGTACGACAAATAAGTAAATTTATAATTATTTTCTTTATTCTTGTGACCCCTTTTAGTTGAATGAATGTACTACAATAAATATCATACAAAGAACCAAGAGAACAAGACTTGGGAAACGCATATTAACAAATAATCTAATCATTAATTAATTACTCGCATAAATATTTTTTTCATGATAAAAAGGAAGAGTTTTTAAATTTTTTGAGGAATAATCATAATAATAATTTTTTTTCTATTATTTAAACCTTCTTTTATTAATTATTATTAGAAAAAAATATTCTTCATTGTTATTATTATTGCTTATCATTTACTCACATCCCATTTAATACATTTTACACCAAATAAGGTAAATATTTTTTTCTAAGAAAAAAATTTACAACCTCCACTCTATTACATCATCGCAATAATAAAATATGACTATCAGCAAAAAACCTACAAATCACTCTACTACAAACATAAGTCGTCGTTTAACAGTAATGCATCGATTCAGTTTATACACATTGACAATTTTTATAATTTTGATTCTAAGATATGCAAATTCCGGACCATTTTTACCATTATCATGCCAATTGTTTGGATCAAAATGTCCTACTAATCCAAGCATTAATGGATTTGTTAAACAAGAATTTAATGGCGTCAAAGAAATCTTCAAACAAAATTTTATTAATGGTGATGATATTGGTGCACAAATTACTGTTTATTATGATAACGAAGTTGTAGTTGATTTACAAGGCGGATTTGCAGATTTAAGTAATGGACGTACTTATAATGAAGATACTTTACAACTGGTATTCTCCAGTACTAAAGTTTTGGTAAATATAAAATAATTTTGGCACAAAGTGCAAAATAACTGTTTTTATTGATTATATTTATACATTCATTAATACTAATTCTAATTTCTTTTCTTTTTTCCTTTTTCTTCTTGCCAAACAGACTGGAATTGTAATTTCTAGACTTGTAGAACAAGGATTATTAGATTATAATGAAAAGGTTTCCAAATATTGGCCAGGATTTGCACAAAATAATAAAGAGAATGTGACATTACTAGAATTGATAACACATAAAGCTGGCGTAGGATATATTGATTCACATCAAATCAGTAATAGAGATTTACATGATCTTGATAAATTATCTGAAATTTTGGCCACTAAAGTTTTGGTAAATATAAAATAATTTAATACTAACCTTCTTTAGTTTATATGACAATGATGCTAATTAATAATAAAATATCATTATTATCTAATAAAACAGTGGCTTAGATATAAAGAGGCAGAAATTGATCGATCATTCAAAGTTCCGAATTCATTAATAGCTATATTTATATGTTCAGCAATATTCATAATTATTGGTAATGCAATTAAGAAGGATATTCCAAAACCGTCTACATCTGATTACGACGATTGTCAAAAAAATGCAATAACCATCGATCAATATATAATACCAATTATATGCGGTGGATTTTTATTTGTTGGAGCTGGTTGTTGGTGTATTAGTTATTTCAGATCTGGTGGGAATTCACGCAATAATAATATTAGAGGTGATGTTTCTAGTGAAAATCGTGACAATAATGACAATAGCGATAATAAAATTGTTAGTACATCTTTGTAATATAATTCATTTTATAGATTGAAAAAATTTATTTATACCATTATAATTTATTAATATTAATATCCTATTTTAGAAATATTTAATTATTTAATTAAAAAACATTATCATTCATTAATATATTAATATTAATATTCTATATAATTATTTAATTAAAAAACACTATCATTCATTAATTTACTAATATTAATATTCTATTTAGAAATATTTAATTATTTAATTAAAAAACATTATCATTCATTAATTTATTAAAAGTAGTTATTTGATCATAATTAAGTTGGGATTAATCAGAAATGATTCTCATTTCTCAAGTTTTAAATGCTGCGGAACTCTTGTACGCTTGCTCTCTGTATTGGTAATAATCACTGTCAAGCACCATTTGCCCACCTCTCTCTTAAAGGCTACATTTCAAATTTCTCACCAATTTAACTAATTTTTTGAATAATAAATTTCTTTTAATAATCATTTCGTAATTCATATTATCCATTACGGCAGCATTAAATTCCATGCGCACATGCATATAAATATTATAAATATATCAACAACGTAATTCATTTTTTCTCATTTTCAAATGGAGTTGAAATTTAAGCCTTTCAATTTACAAATTATGACCATCAAACTTCAACCAGATATCAGGTGTTACCTGATTTAGCATTATTTGGAGTGTGTTTTTTTTACCTTCCCTTGTCATATTTTTTATTTGATCAATTGGACCTTTGATTAATATTATTAGCTTGTTGACATTGAAGAGAAATGGATCAGTCGGCGAGGCGTAACATTATACATTCATTACTTTGCAATTATTTTCATTAAACGAGTTTTTCATCTATTATGAGTGTGAATGGAGAAAATTTTTGCATAGATGCTGCATATAGCAGTGTAAACAATGAAGAAGCATTTACCGAAATAAACTATTAATGACATACATGTGTCAAAGTGTTGCAGAACGATTCGGCTTTAACAGTTCACAAAACGTGACTTTGTCAGTAAATGAAATATCGTTTTACCCGGATGAATCTATGGAGCGATGAGCAGAGCTCCTTCTTGGATTTATTAAATATCTTTTCATTTAAATTTAAACGCCTGAAGGTGGATTGAGAGATGTCATAACTGAATATAGAGCATCGGATTAGAATTATTTATTTCTCTCCTCGAATTAAAAAACTTTTCAATCTCTTTCAGAAAATGATGATGACCTTCGACATGCTAATATGGTATGCGATGATAAATTAATTTTTATTACTAAAAATTCATCGTCATTATTATTAAAAGGAAAAAAAGTAGTGGTTTACAGATAGGTATCAAATATGATTGGGTTTTCTTGCGATTTAAGACTAATTTTGGAATGGCTCGTGATGATTTAGCCAAATATTTGATATTATTATATTTATTCTTTGAATTGGATTTTTGTTTGTTAATTAATTTATTAATCATGCTCTTTTTATATTAGATATGCACCACTAGCACATTTAGCAACTATCCTCGATCCTTGAATTCCACTGCACTTATTGTTTGAAGGCGCACGATATCTATGTCCCCAAAAAACTAGATTTCTTAAATCAAAGTTAAAAAAAATTTAATAATTTATATAGAGAGAGTATATGATGTCATAACTCTTGATGTTGTCTGTGCATCTCCATTTTGTACCAGAATATTAAAGAGTATAGATTCAAAAATGAAAATGTTGCAGTAGTTGGAGGTCATACCGAAGTAACAATTATTCCACTGCTTTCTCAACCTAGTGGATCAAATTTCACAGAAGGAAATATAAATAAATGCTTTGGCTCATAGAACGCATAGAATACAATTTGGTAGTGATGAGGTTGTTAAAGCCGAAATTGGTATTATTATGTGCCATAGTAAATAGTGAAAAAGGGAATTGTGGAGCTGTTTATGTTAAATCTGATTTATTTTCAGAATAAGATATGGAGTATTTTGCGAATTAAATCCAAAAAGTGTTGGCAAAATTTATCTAAAAGAGAGTCATTGTCAGGACTTTATAATAAAAAATATAATTTTGTTTTTAATAATTGTTACAATTAAGCATGTTAGCCGAAATTACCTCTCTTAATAATTAATATTAATAAATGATCATCACCAAATCCGAGGTGCCGAAATAGCCAAAATCAACTTTATTAGTTGTCATCCAAAATTACTTGAACGCTTTAACTCAATAGCCAAAATTCTGGGTAATTTTTTTATGTCTATTGATATAAAGAATATTGTAAATCAGAAATTGCTTGCCGAAATTGATTTTTTCAAAACTATTTCGGCTAACATCCTTAGTTACAATAATTATACTTGTATATACGTAAAAAGTTAACGATAATAAAATAGCGAGAGTTTATTAATCAAAAAGATTGATTATAAATGCTTCCTACCAGAATCGAACTGGTGCCTTCAGATTATGAGACTGACGCGCTAACCACTACGCTAAGGAAGCTAATTTATTCCTTATTAGATAAATTTATCTTATTTGAATACTTATTAATTTAATTAAAAAATATTTAATTTAATTTACATACTAATGTTTCTTTATTAAATTAAATAAATAATAAAAGATTGAGCATACATTGAAAATAAGATTTAAATTATTGTCTTCAAGTTTAATTATATATAAATATATATATAAATAAAAATTTATTTTACCATTCTTTTCTAGCTAACAGTTGACATATATATTCTATTATTCAATAATTACGTTGCCAACCCCCACCAGAAAAATTTACTACTGGAAGTCCTTTCAACTCAATAGTCTTCAGTAATAAACCACAAGGTGCCTGTATTTTTCTAGCATAACTAAATAATTCATTATATAATTTTCTGTCTTTGAAACTTCCTTGATTTCATTTGTAACGGTTCTCATATGATTTACAGCTTCTGCCACATTTGTGTTCCTCACCTAAATCCTTAGCTCCACATGCAAATGGAACTTTGAAATCATCTTTATTTATATGATAACATTGATCAGCTGGCATAAGTACTTCAAATTCATCGATGTAATCAACATTAATTGCTTCTAAAATCTAATATTATTATTGTTATTGTTACCTGAGCTTTCACAAAATATCCAGTTATTATTTAGCCAATACTGGAATTGTGACTGCTACCTTTATCTTCTTAGCAACTCCATCTAATAATATTAATGAAATTATAAAATGTTGAGATTTAAATTTATATAAAAAAATTTTAAACCCTCTTTTCTAACATCAGCTTATACGTGTTCTAAAGCCACTACAGCTACCTGTGTCAGCTCCTTCTTCAATTCTTTCTTGTTCAACATTTACAACACCCATGATTATTCCCTTTAGATATTATTTGATGGATAATTAAGAAAACAATTTTTTTTGATCAGAACAAAAACTCCAACATTTGAAGTAAGGAATAATTATCGATGATCATTCCGGGAAAAACTTATTTCTTACTAGGTTGATGGTATGATAAAATTTAAAGATGAGTATAAATCATGTACATTTAATTTTACGTTAGTTTATTATTCATTCCGATCAATCTCTTCTTTTAGGATATATTTCCATTTAAATAAAGGATAAAAATACCTCCGCAAGATTTATACCATAACTGTTTATCCTGATTATCCAATCGTTGAATAACCAGCGAATTTTATTCAGTGGGCAAGACCACTCATCGCGTATAATAATAAAATTTACGCGTTTAATATTAACTAATCAATTAATTATATATATATATATTTAAAAAGAAAAAAGTGCTATAAAAGACGTTGAGAAGGAAAGAGCACATGCAACACAACAAAAGGAGATCTTCAAGTAAATATTGTTGGAGGGTGATTGTTTTTTAAGAGTTATTCTAATTAATTAATTAAATGATGACTGGCTTAACTTTACTTTTATTTTCATTTTATCTACTTAGTTTAAATAGAAAAGGAGACCTTTCCCCTTCTCGTCGTCGTCGACATCGACACCAACACCAATATCAACACCAACATCGCGTCATCTCCACTGGTAATTAACAATCATAAATGGCTGAGAAGTGAAAAACGTCTTGCACAGCATTTTCAAGTTAAAAGGCTTCAGAACAAATCAATTGGAAGTAGAGGTTGGAATCGTCCAAAAACCTTAGTCGACTACTAGTTGGTCAAAATTTTCTTTAGTCGATTATTTAGTCGATTATTTTAGTCGACTAATACTAATACTAATTTGTCATAATAATAATAATGATATTCGTTTTTTTTTTAATTTGCAAATTACGAATTCATTTCCATTTGAATCTTTCAATTTTTCAAAATACTTCCACACAAAACCATGTGTCACGATTCGTTTTTTTAAAGGTCTTCTGGAA